AAACATAGCAAATACAATAGGGACCTAAAATTGTAACGATGCAACAAGACGAAACAGACAAGAGAGGAAGACTGGATCCTATTTGAAGTTTCAGATAGCTGTGCACAGAAAAAGCTGGTAGAAATGTCAGACATAGCTGTAGCTGACTTTGCACTTTCACCCATGGTACCTCCCTCCCCTGTGTTGTTAGATCAGGAGGAGGAGGATAAGGGAACAAGTTAGACCGTATTTAGGTCCCCGCATTCACATTTAATTGGATAAATTTATATAACTACACCCAAGTTAAAGACGAGTCATCAAAAATATGTTAACGTTTTACAGGAAGAGAAACCAGAAGGATTTTGAACTACAAATGCTGAGCCCTGCTTTAAAAGAACAACACAAGGAGACCGGATTTACATCTTGTTGTGTCTTTAAAGGGGTTAGCCATCATGGTATAAATGGTACTCCGCCTTCATATCAGGACTGAAGCACAGCGATATTCAGCATTACTTACGGATACACAAAAAAAGAGCATCAGTGTCTGGCCAACTCACCGAAGTCAGCGAGTTTGAGCTCTCCGGTGTCGCTGATGAGCAGGTTTTGTGGTTTCAGGTCGCGGTGAAGGATGTACCTTTGGTGGATGTAGGACAGGCCTCTCAGTAACTGGAACAGGAACAGCTAGAAAACACAAGTGAACAAAGGGAAATGACTATTTTTACAGAAGTATATTTGACCATATGTACAAACAACATGGTGAAGACAAAAATGATAAGGAGGGCAGATTTCTCAGAATATCAGGCAGAATATCAATACTCTTTTAATAACTCTCCTCTCATTTATCTCTGCCTTCATCTACATATCTCTGTGGCACATTAAACTGAGCAGCTGCTGGCTGCAGAGATGTGTGTAAAAACCTATCCATCATTAAAGTAGGGCTGTGACTTCATTCCAGACTAAATGAGAACAGGCGTGAGCCCCACATGTTATTTACAAATAGTTCAATGAAATGCTGTCTCTATCACAAAGTCATAAAAACCAAAATCAATAGTGAGTCATCAGCCAGGAAGAACACAGCCATCATTTCCTTCACTTGCACTATTAAACATTGATCAAACAGATGAGATATCACAACGCCCATCTGATTCCACAGCTGTGGCATTAACCGTAAATTAAAATGTCTACTCCTGATTCAAAATCACCTCTTCCGTACATAAATTGTGGCTTCTGATATCGACTTTGCTTTGTGTAGAATATATGTTACAGGATTGTTTTAGAGAGTGGAAAAGGTGACAGCAGAAATGCATGGAGGTGTGACAGATTTTGCTGAAATCACATCAAACATATGGAGTTGAGCGTGGCTGCTGCCTCCTTTTCATTTTCTGTGAAGGGCAGCGAATCAATTGCACAGAGAGGCAGGAGACAGGACTGCTGACAGCAGGGGGCAGGAAGGCAGTACAGCAAGAAAAAGTTCAAATCAGCAAATCAACGCACACATTTCTGTCCCTCACCAAAAATATTAGTTTCCAGAACTGACCCTTTTATGTAAGTTAATGATGGATTCTAGCATTGCGGTTCAGCAGTTTTTGGTCCTGTACTGGACATTATAGAGGAGACTAGCTATCATAACTCAATGAGGTATGTCATTGATTACCATGTCACTGACATTTCCCCCCGAGTTGTACCATCTATATACTAAAAAAAATACATTTTACTAGGGATGTGCTTCTCAATCACTAAGGCCAATGCAGCCAACAATCTGATACATTAAATATACATATGAAGCAACTACCAATGAGATAGAATACAATTCCCCATTGTGATGCAGTGCAGTTCATTTGATTCAACACAATGTTGGGTTTAGAGAGGAGGAATCAATCTCAATGTACAATTATTGTTCACATTTCTGAATAATATTAAGTGACTAATGAAATACATTTTATAGATGCTTAGATATTAGAAACGATGCATCCTAAGTTCATACTGAATTGTATCTGATGCACACTTATTAAATCTGGCTGGAAGTGGAATTTTAAAGCTGCAATAGGATCAATATTTTTACATACAAACTAGATCAAATTAGTATGTGTTATGTGAAAGCAGTTACTTGTAGTGATGAACACAAAAAAAGATGAGCCTCTGAGCTTTACAGAATGTTTTAGCCTCTTTCAGCTCATTGTTTTGGTTTTCTAGTCCGCTTGTTTCCAGCAGCAACAGGGGGCTGTGAAAAATCTCTGATAAAGCCACAGTTAGTTTAGTTGACTAATGAACACAGTGGGGCCTTTAACATCTAAATAGACCAAAGCTGAGTTAAAAGGAGAGTAAATACTTTCAGAACAAAACTCAAAATAAGTGCTAATCTTGCCCCTGTCTGCTTTATGTGTAAATTAACTTATTTGACACAAAAACTTTATGAGGTGATAAAGTGTCAATGTTGTGTTGTTGTAAAATGTGTTTACAACTTCTTACACTGCCCGGAAGTTGCCAAAAAATATTATGCAGCTTTAACAACATGAAACAGCAAGTAAATTAAATCTGCCATTAAATTATATCAGTGCTCTTGGTTTCACATCCATTCACACTCTTTTCCAGCTCGGTAGATGTAATCACTGTTGTCTAAAAAATGTCTGTGCAGCCTGGTACAAAAACAGTTTTGGTCTTTGTAGGTGATATCCCTGTTTGTGACATCTGTACTGGGGTTAATTTAAAGTTATGCATAATCAAGGGCATGGACACTGACTGATAGGTGGGTGCTGTCACAGGTGGCTGTTTTCAGTAACCAGGGTTTATTCAACCTGCCTCTGCTCCACCTCTTTGCCCACTTTTGGATTAGCCGGGAGCCGGCAGAGTCAGGACTGCCAACATGGCGACAGCCAGGGCCGACCACACTGAGCTTTACAACGGCTCTTCAGAAACCTATGGGTGACATCACAGAGACTACATCCATTTTAATTACACAGTCTATGAACAGAACCCAGGTATTCCAGTTTCACTTTGTCTCTTCGTTATAATCAAGCAACTCTGGTGTGCTTCAGGCTCATGCATGCTCATGAAAGAGATATTTCACCTGTAAAAACTGCAGATCAGGAACTAGAAACCCTAACTTTATGTAATAATTGAAATATTTTAATGAAAGCTGCACTAAAGACTGGAGGATTTCACTGAAAAATATAATAATTATAATAATAATAATTCATTCATAAAAACACAAAGATTTAATTGTACTTAAATTTACATTTTTACTGCCAATTATGAATGCATTTCTGCTAACATATCATATGAATAAAGATTTAATTGTACTTAAATTTACATTTTTACTGCCAATTATCTCACTGCTGAAATTAAACACACTCCTCCACCTGCCTGCGGAGCTCATAAAGCAAACTGCATCCAAATTTAGTTTTTAATATGTGCATACTGCATGAAGTGCTGCTGGCAGTATGAGCTTTCAAAACTGAATATCAACAAAATTCTAATATGTACCTAAAGTTGGTGCTACATTACACTTGTTTTGTTTGCTGTGGCAGATGTCCCCCCCCAACACCCCACCCCCCCACACAGTCGTGTCAATCAACAAATAATGAGGTGTGCACGATCCAGCATTCCATTTTATTCCAATCCTAGCATTCCCCTCTTATTTCTCTCCTCTCACTGATACTATAGTCTCGGCCAATTAAGCTGATTGAAGCACCGTGGAGTCCAATCAGGGACGGGCCCTGTCTGGCATCTGGAGTCACCGGGTCAACAGTTTACTATTCCAGCACTCAGTGGGTGGGAGATGAACTGCGGTGCGGGAAATTAGCATGGGAAATGTGTGTTTACTCATGTATATCAAAACACACTTCTGAAAAGCCCTCGCCTTGTTAGGGGTGCGACTGCACGCTGATAAAGAGAGAGAAAAATCACACTTTTGTTCTCTTCAGTCAGCTCTTCAATTCAAACATCAAAACCTTCCTCTTAAGAAGCTTTCTGTTTGGCTTCGACTGAAACGGCTCAGTGCCATTTGCATTCCGGTATTTGATGAAAAGTGAAGTCCTGAGAGCAGTTTGTGAAGGCTATTCAGACTGTTGTGACAATAATAATACTCTATACTGTTCTCAAGATGGCCAATTTTAGAGTTAAATTATGTAGGTAGTCAACAACTGGCCATATTTATACCCATGCACAGTTGAAATAAAAAGTTGGTTTATGTCTCTGTTCTTCTTCTTACAAGTCAAACAGGCTCAGCATGGTTGGGGTGAACATTTGGCTTGTTGGCACAGACATCTGCTTGCCAGACGAGCTCACCCAACTATAATAAGTGACTATGAGACGTCCATCTGTGTGAATGTATTGAAAGGAACCCTGCAGTGAAAGATGTGACTGCACAGATTAACCATAGAGTGAGCAGGAAAAAAAACACACAAGAAATAGCAGGTGACAAAAAGTACCTAAAGGAGAGGTGATGGCGTAAAATAAAATATATAGAAACAAAAAAAGGAGTGGTCACTTTTATTACTTTCAACAATTGCCTCCTCCAACAAATGATGGTCACCTGGGTGAATATGGATGTGATTCATTCTAATGCCCTGTTTACACCACAATGGTTGTGCTGGAAATGGAAAGGTTTGTCCGTTGTGTTTTTAAAAAGTGTAGTATGCATGCCAGGCCAGTAGATGGTGGTGTAACTCAACACGGCAGAAGAACCTACGTACAAATGCTTCCCTCTACAGAGTGTAAACACGAAGAGAAGATGGTGAGTGCAAGCTCAAAAACTTTGTCTGGACTGACAATAAAGTGGGGTTGTTACTCATAGTGACCCTGGACTATAAGGCATGCAAATTTCAAGAAAAATACTGATTGGGAATCATGTCAGTCAAAATACATGGATATTTTGGAGGACCGAATACAGTCTCCGTGCAGACAAGGAATAAAGTACAGCGATGGTTTTATTGCCGATTTTTGCTCCTAAGTTGCTAAGTTGAGGAACGTTAGCTGCACAAGCTAACTAGCTAACAGCATCCAACATTACTGTTGGCGACAGTTAGCTTCTTTTAGCAACAAGTTCATCTTGAAACTCTGTAAATCGCCTCTGCCAGAAACACTCAGCTCTGGTAGCTAGCCATGCTGTTGCTAGCTTGCTAACTAATGAATCTTTGCTCTGTGTCACTTAAAGTGAAGATTAATTAACGGGTGAATGGCATGATATTATTGGTTGAAATTGGTTAGTTCATGCTTTGGAAGCCCGCATCACATAGGGGTACAATAAAAGATGCAATCTTAAAAGGTAAAAAAACAAAAAAATATTTTTTCACCTGGACTTTAAATAAAGCTTACAAGAATATTGTCTGATGCCAGTAAATACTATAGTACCCATAAACATAATTCACTGTTGCTATGGAGAGGATACTGGGAAACATTGTGGCACTTTCCACACTTCACACTTCCTTTTTGTATGACAGCTTTTCTGTTAGAAAAAGACAAAGACGAGATAACTCTGGCGACAGCCTTGACAAAGCTTGTCCCGAGCACCTCGACTGTTCTCACAGTCTGATTAGTAATCATCATGAAGAGTAAACTGACTCATTGGTAAAATCAGTGCAATCATTAGCTGTCATTAGCTGTCATTAGCTGTATAGCAACAGAGTTTGAAGCTCAGTGATTGGATGTTTCCTGCTGCAATGCGCTCCGGGACTTGGCTT